CATTCCAACCTCGACGCTTTCATGCGATCGAGGAGCCAATCGTTGAAGGACAGAAACTCTACGAGGGTCGCGTGCCCTGGTGTCCTCCTTCCATCGTGCCTTTTCTTCCAGCATGATCCGCAAATCGGATGATTTGGGTAACTCTGTCTGTTTGGATAATGTCTGGTACGAGTGTGAAGGTCGGTAGGTACTTCCCTCTGTGTAAGACCTCAATGATCTCGTTTTCTCAGACCTGGAGTAACGAGTTCTGGAGGTTCTAGACTGAGTATCGCCTGTCTTGAGGCTTCTACTCTCTGCTTGTGACGGTGTGGAATATCTTCCATGGTCTTCTGAGCGGCGAGGGGGCGTCTTGTTTTTGCGCCCCTCTCCTGTCGCCACTCCTTTTCCCTTTATCTGGCGTTTCAAGGTCTCCATGTCTGCCGCCATCTTCCTTATTAATTCGTCTTGCTCCATCACGCGGTCCTCCAGAACTTAAGGATCGATCCTCCGCCTTTGTCTGTCAGGACTTTGTGAATGAGAGTGATGGGGGCTGTGAGTCCGCCTCCCCCTAGTATCTCTCCTGGAGTTATGTCGTTGGGGCTCCAAGTTGCCATGGGAGGGATAGAAGGTAATCCTTCACGCCTTGCACCCCCATCTGGTGTTTGCCCGTAGATGGCGGACTGTGGTAATTCTTCAATGTGCGCCATTGTTCCTAAAGAGGTAAAGCTTGATCAAGAGGTTTTGTTTTGTCTGAAATTCCCACAGACGGAGCCAATTGTACGGGAAAGAAATAAACCTTCTCGTATAATCCTGTTGATCAAGTCTGCGCTCCTCTGTACGTCGTCGCTTTATCACCTGAAAACACAAACGTGAGCTAGCCGGCGGGTGTGTGCCAGAAACCTCCGATGCCTAAGTCAGTAAGCTTGACAAATAGACAAAAGCTCTGTGTATTCAGAAAACAAAGTTGTGTTACCTCTCCAAAGGTGACGTTGTGAGCTTTTATAGGTTCTGTGTGGCACAATCCTAGTAGGACTTTTACTTCTTCATGCAGAGTCCTCCTAGGATTCATACTCCTGAAAGATAATGCTTATCCTTCAACACCCCCCTCACTGCTTAAACCAAGTGAGATGGTTTTATCATGGCCGAACTTCAATATGACCGAAGTAAACATGACTATGCATAGCCGCAAAATAAGCCGAACTAGTTCTTCCTTTTACTGCTCTTACATCGGCTTCTCCTGCACAACCCACGGCGTGGTTAGACTGGACTAACATGTCATGACCGGTGTAACTCCAAGACCAGTCAAACTCCAAAGTACCGTATAGACCGATCTAACTTCGATCTTCTGTCGGACCGGACTAGCTTCACGGCCTTAGGACCGGACTAAATTCAAAATATCCACACGACCGGAGTAACTTACATGGCCATTTTACTCGGCCCTTTGTACTGCAGCTCATAAGGCCCATTACCCAGCTCGGCCCAATTTTCACATAAATTACCCTCTCAATGTGAATATATTTTTAATTGACAGAACATTAAAAATAATGTGAACATTTTCTCTCATCTGACGTAAATATATTTTTAATTAACAACACATCAAAAATAATGTGAATATTCTCTCTTATCTGATGTGAATGTTCACAACACCTTTCCGAAGAATTCTCTCTTGTCTAATGTAGTGATGTGAACGTTCACAACATGTGAACCTCCTTATTTTTAATTGACAACATATTAAAAATAATATAAAAATTCTCTCTCATCTGATGTGAACGTTCATAACATATTTTTGAAAAATTCTCTCACATCTAATGTAATGATTTAAACGTTCACAACATGTTATATTTTTAGTTGACAACACATTCTTATTCATAATATGTAGTGATGTGAACGTTCGCATTCATATGTTTTAGTATGAATATTCACATCATATAATTGACAACACAATGACAAAAATTTATTTCAAATTAATGTGAATATAATGATGTAAATATTCATTTTAATTACATGATATGAATATAAAACAGTGACAAAATTTCATTTTAAATTAATATGAATATAATGACAGTCAACATCCTAATGCATAGGAACTATCAAAATATAATGACAATCAACATTAAATATCAACGTTAATAAAGGGAATGAGAGATTTGGGGTGTTTTGGTCTTCTTATCTCAAATAGGATCTAATGGAATAGTTAAAAAGAATATGGGTTGAATGGAATAAAACTCTAAAAAAGATGACTTATCAAAAAAGCTCCCAAAAATTTGGTACTTTTTCATAAATCCCCTCTCACCTACTTATATTCCTTTAGTCCACATTGTTTTCTTATATTTCAATAAGTCCTATGAGTGACATAGTTACAAAAATACCCCTAATAATATTCATATTTACAGTGTGAATGTTCCGTGATGTGAATATTCACACTATCAATGTGAACATTAACATGTCAATGTAAATATTCATATTGTAAAATATGAATATTCACATCACCAAATTGCTAACCATTTAAAAAATATTTGTAAGGATAGAAATGTTCATAAAATACTTTAAATATGAGCATTAAGATTTGGTAAATCAAATGTTCAAATAATAGGACTTATTAAAATACAAAAATATCTTATGAATTGGGATACAAACACTTGAAAAATGATTTTCTAATAAATCTTTCTTAAAAAATATAAACGTGTTAACTTTAGCAGAGCGGAGCGGTTCGGTTGGCAGATTATAAATTTTAAAGTTTAAACCGCGGTTAGCAGTTAGAGCTGTGCGGATTGATGCGGATCGGTGCGGTTTTAGCGGATTTGGCGGTATTTTGCACAATCCTAATGATAAGTAATTGAATTGATTGAAATTCTGAGTTAACTGATTAAGTGTGTTAGTTTAAATACATGTCTATCTGTTTGACTGTTAAATTATCTGTTCGTGTTTTATGTTTTAAATTGCAAATTGAAGGCCTTATCGGCAG